CAGTGGGAAATCCAAATAAGGTCTGAGTTTAGTAAATAGAACTGTACCAATGTTAACTTGCTGGTGTGGTAACTGTGCTGTGGTTATGTAAGACGTTAACATCAGGAGAACTGGGGAGAAAGGAATATGGGAAATCTGCGCTATTTCTGAAACTTTTATGTAGGTTTAAATTTATTCCAACATAAACTTAAAAAAAGGTAGTAACAGCTATAACCCACGAGTACGTGCTGACATAGTAAGTGGGGAAAAGAGAAAGCTTTTTCTTAAACTATAATGCAAACGAATAAACGCAGAAGAAATGCTGGTATTAGAAAAATCCTCGGGCGCCTGGGTGGCTCAGTCGTTAAGCATCTGCCTTCGGCTCAGGTCATGATCCCAGGGTTCTGGGATTGAGCCCCGCATCGGGCTCCCTGCTCCACGGGAAGCCTGCTTCTCCCTCTCCCACTCCCCCTGCTTGTGTTCCTGCTCTCACTATCTCTCTCTGTCAAATAAATAAATAAAATCTTAAAAAAAAAAAAAAAAAAGAAAAATCCTCAATTCAGCAACTATCTTAGTAATAAATGATTCAGGCAAGTACCAGCGGGAGGTAAAAGATGAGAAAAAAACCTACTTATATGGTTTCAACGTTTCTCCCGACAGTTACTAATTGTTAGTAATTACTTATTAATAAAAAGAGATGCCTGGCAGACAAATGAACACCACAAGTTGTAGGGCAAACTGACACTGCGCACCTCCTGATGTGAATTACTGAGAAGAGCCTGGCCCCGCTTCTGCATAAATCATAAATCATGAGGAAACATTAGTCAAACCCAGATGGAGGGACATTCCACAAACGAACTGGCCTGTACTCTTCAAAAATTTCAAGGTCATGAAAGATAAAGAAAGAATGAGTTGTTTTTCTGGATTGGAGAGACCAAAGAGACATGACAAGTATATGGACCCTGCGGTCCTGGCATGGATCCTGGATCGAGAAAAGACATGACGGACGGGGACCACCAGCGAAATGGAGTGGCGTCTACGAATAAAATGGTACTAATGGATCAAGTTAACTTCCTGATGTTGATAGGTGTACTGTGGTTAGGTAGACTGCGTGCTTGTTTACAGGAAACACAGACTGAAGTCCTGAGGAGTAATGGGGGCACTCTTGCCTGCAATTTGAAGAGTGTCTATGCTGAGAAATCTCTTCTCCAAGAGTCAGCCAGAGAAAATCACTACATTCCCAAGAGTAAAAGTTATATGAACTTCCTTCTGGAACATAAACAAAAATTGAGAAAGCCACTTAAAGCATAGAAGGACAGCTCAGCCAACTCCGCTAAGGAGATGGCTTTGGGGATATCTCTACTTCCTTTCTCCTCCCTAGGTCCCGGCTCTGCAGTCCTCCTACTGCTGTTTGGCTTTTGGCTGGCTCAGGTGCTGCCAGAACTTTCCCTGGGCAGGTGGGAAGCTGGGAAGACGAGAGGGCAGACCCCATGCCAGGCCCAACAGAAAGCTGGCAACACTGATCAGGCCACCCAACCGCTGACGAGTCTGGAACAATGGCACCAGGCGGGCAGGGCAGGCACAGCTCCTGATCACTCATGCCAAGTGCCAACATGTCCTCTCATCTCATCCTTGCCACTAAGTGCACTGGAGAGAGGACAAAACCAACTCTGAGAGGTTGAGTACCATGCTTGAGGTCCCAGGCTAGTGAGTGCAGAGCTCGGACTCAAATCCAGGTCTGTCTGGCATCCAGGCCCACGCTCTTTCCACTACACTGTGTTGGGTCTCTGTCATCTGGGAGCTTGTGAATGGCCTAAGATTTTCCTTCCTTGCAGATTTTTGAGTCAGAGCTACAAGAATGAAATACGTACAAAATCAGTCCCCCACCTGAGTTTCTTCCCTTAGGAGTCTTGGACAAAAGGGAGGAAGGGTTTTGTAGAACCCCTTGAAATTGCACTCAAGATAGAGTGTGGGTTTATGTGAATTTTTTTTTTTTGACAAGAAGAGTCTACAGTTTCATTGGGCTCTCAAAGGGATCTGTGACTCAAAAAAGGTTAATAGCCACTGCTTTAGGCATTATTTTGTCTGATTCTCTGCTTTAAAAGATGAGGAAATGGATTTCTTGAACTCTATTTTCTACTTCCAAGCCTTTGCTGCTTATTCTGGAGCGACAACAGCACAACCTACGCAATTCTCCTATGAGTAGCTTCTGCTACTTCCCCGGTGCTGTGGAAACATCCTAGTGAGGCCAAGTGGCAGGAGGAGTGGCCCGCACTTCATTTTTCATACAGAAATGGAGAGTCCCTAAGGAAGGGAGGTCTGGCTCTCTGCCCAAAGCATCATGAACAATGAGTACACTTTATATGAATCAAGGCCATGTGAAAAGAGTAGATACCAGAATTATGATAATTCAGAAAAATGACTCTCTAGACCAGATAGGTTTGGGGAAAGTACGTGGTTATCTCAGATATGCACTTTAAACTCTGGATCCAACAGCTTTTAAACCTTTCTAAAAATAAGAATTTGGGTTGATGAGGGAAGAACGGGCTTTGTCCAAAAACAGTCATCCAGGTGGGCTGCTCAAGACCTGTGTAATCTCATAGATAAATAACGGATCTTTTACCTGCTCCTCCAGGTGTCTTATTAATTTCCTGAGAAATAATTTTTTTTTAAGATTTTATTTATTTATTTGAGAGACAGAGAGAGAACAAGTGATGGGGAAGGGGGGCGGGGGAGAGAGTGAGAAGCAGACTCCCTGCCAAGCAGGAAGCCCAACTCAGGGCTTGATCCCAGGACCTGCAGATCATGACCTGAGCCTAAGGCAGTCACTTAACCGACTGAGCCGCCCAGGCGCCCCAGAGAAAGAACTTTTTCACACAGAAGACAGGGTGTTCCAAAGGAGCAAACAGCAATAAGTAATTACTGCCTTTCTGTGTACCTTCGGATCTAAGCCCAATGGATAGACGGGAGGAGGCGATGGCTTTACAAGGCAAAACGTGAAAGCAACTCTTTTTTGGAGGAGGATGGTGGGCAGGAGGTTGTTTTCGTTTTTTAAAAGATTTTATTTTATTTGATAGAAAGAGACACAGCGAGAGAGGGAACACAAGCAGGGGGAGTGGGAGAGGGAGAAGCAGGCTTCCTGCGGAGCAGGGAGCCTGACATGGGGCTCGATCCCAGGACCCTGGGATCATGATCTGAGCAGACGCTTGACGACTGAGCCACCTAGGCGCCCCAAGAGGTTGTTTTTGTTAACATAGAAGGTCTTCTACAAAGTTCATTTTCTACGACTTTACTATGAAACATTTTGTAACTGGGGACAAAAAGAGTAGATACAAACTACAAGATAAAATAGGTGAATAATGATAATGTTCCATGTAGTGATTCCACTTGAAACAGTCTCTTAATCTTATGGTTTCTCTCTGAAACATACTCGGAAAAAAGAATTTGCTAATCCACAAAGAACCATTACAAAAAAAAAAAAAAAGGGGACTAAATTTCAGCGCCTAAATGCTTTCCCAGAGAACTCCCTTTGAGCACTTTCTCACAGCCACTACTGTGCTCCCTGCCTGAGCCACTGTCTGTCTGGTCCTCCCAAGTGCATTCTTCAGGCTACAAGGCCTCATCTCAGAGCTGGGGCCAGCCTGTCTCCAGAAACTTGACCTTCCCAAAATCTGCCTTCCAGTGTGGAAAGGCCTTCACCAGTTCCTGTGGCTGGGGACAGAGGTTCAGGGATGAGGAGGGGTCTTCCTCCTTTGCGTGAATAACGGACATTGGAACTTGAAGATACTCTTCTGACTGTGAGAAACTTGGCTGCAGTGGGCTGCTTTGTGAAAAATTTCGGAACTCCTGAGTTTGTAAAAAGCATATATGTTAAATGGTTGATAATCCATAAAAGAAAGCAAGAATCCACCAGTCCATACCGACAGAAATACACATGCACACGGGGGAGAGGGGGAAGTACTTCCTTACAGAAGAACTCCAATTAACAATAGAGGAGAAATGATGGAAACAGAAAATCAACATTTGGCAAACACTACAGTAATAACTGCTTCGGGCAGAAATCATCAAGGATGTCAAAATGAGTGGGAAAAGTGTGAGGAGAAACAGGATATTCACATAGTCCCAAGTATCCCCCCACGAGATACTTATTAATTACAAAGAGAAAAACAGCAGCTTCACAGCAGAGAAAGCTAGCAGGCGCCACCTTAAGCAAGTGATCAACGTTAACATCACCAGTAATGGGACACAGCCACATGATGTGCCTCCTGATATGACGTACCCAGAGGGACACAACATCACCTGCATGGTATACTTGCCCACAACGCATAATCTGGATTTAATCAAGAGCAAACATCAGACAAACTGAAACTGAGGGCACTGCAGAAAATAACTTGTCAATACTCTGTGAAGTGTCAAGGTCAGGAGAGACAAACAAAAGACTGGGGAAGTATTAAAGGTTAAGGGAGACTAAAGAGACCTGACAACCAAAGGCACGGTGGGACTTTGAGCCAGAAAATGGACATTCATGGCACAATGTTACCCTCCTGATTTTGATAACTGTGATTATGTATAAAATGGTAGCATTCTCTGGGGGAAGGATCTATGAGAATTTTTTGTAACTTTTTTGTAAGTCTAAATTATCTCAAAATGAAAACCTAAACAAATTATACTTGAAAACATGTATATTAGAGAGTAGGTTTTCTTTCTCCATTTTCCAGTGCCTGACATGGTCAAGCCTGTGTAGCTATGTAAGAAGAGCTCAGTGCCCAGATGGGAAGGGGTTGTTGGGATCCATTTGGGACCTTATTAGAGTCAAACTCAGGCTTCTTCGATTTATGGATACAATGAACGATAACATTCACAAGATATAAAAATACCCTTAGAAGATTTCCAAGGAGGGTCACAGGAGGCCTGCCAAGTCTCTCCTTCAGCCTCTGGAAGGAGTTGTGCCCTTGTGAGGCCCAACCATGACCAGAGGAGGGAGAAATGCAGTAGAAAACAGCAAAACGTTCATCACTCACTTGTCCTGGGACTCAATATACACGTAGAGATGAGGCTCGAAACACTTGGAAACAATGCCATGAAATGGATTGTCTGGGGCTTTCGGCTTCTTTGGCTGTAAAGGGGGGAAAAAAGAAGAAAGCAAGCTACACTTGAGCTATCTTTGCAAGTTTTCAAGCAGTTTCAAAGAATACATCCCTTCAAAGTTTACTCCTGACGTAGATAAGAAGCACTCAATGTAACTGAACTGGGGCTGTGTCTTGCATTATGATTCACGCCAGTTTGTGAACAATGAGCCATCACTGACTTGCCTTGGATGGTGAAAGATTTACTGCTACTCTGATAACACATGTGCTTTCAATCTGGAAGCTATTCATCATCCGACTGATGTTTTAAAATTTTAAATCCTAGCTAATAACAGTACCTTATTTATATTTGTACAGTGCTTTAGAATTTATAAAGTGCTTTCATGTGATCTATTTTTGACAGCCTCCATTTAGTGACTGTTTTTTTTTTTTTTAAAGATTTTATTTATTTATTTGACAGAGAGAGAGAGAGAGAGAGAACAAGTACGCAGAGAGGCAGGCAGAGGGAGAGGGAGAAGCAGGCTCCCCGCTGAGCAGGGAGCCTGATGCGGGGCTCGATCCCAGGACCCTGGGATCATGACCCGAGCCGAAGGCAGCCACTTAACCGACTGAGCCACCCAGGCGCCCCTAGTGATTGTTTTTATGGACCAAGCACTTTAACATGAAATAACATCTCATCTATTTCTCACAACAACCCTCGGTGTAGGAATTATTACTACTATTTCACACCTAAAAAAAGGAAGGCTCAGAGGGTTTTAGCAGCATGCCCAAAGGCACACGGCCTGAACTCTTTCTATTATAACACTGCTTTGCCGTGATGGTTCCCAGACTGTTGAATTGCACTGATGAGTAAATGCAAGAAGAAGAACGGTAAAGGACCAACATAGCATTGCTAACTTTTTGTTTTGCCACTTTCCATTCTCGCGAGTCCCTAAGAGTATTTTACACCCAAACATTTTATCGGGAGAAAATAGCAGCATGAGGGCAGTCCTTCCTATGAAAAGACAGTTGGTGACCTTATACCAGATAAATATATATATAGACAGACAGACAGATAGACAGGCAGGCAGGCAGGCGGGCTGTTTTGTCTTTATTGTTTGCCTTGGACCACTGTAAAACAGGGCCAGCACTGGTCCTCAGTTGATACCTAAAAACCGCTGATATACAGGACATCTAGGTAGGCAAGCATTTAAAAACTCTATTGGCTTCCTAATTCTTTTTCCAAAATATCTAAAAAATAAGCGAAGATCTGCCTACATATCTCTTTCTATTTCTAAAAAAAGTCAATTCTATTTATCATCAAATGCCAACAAAAGGATCCTGAGCCCTTGCTGGGGTTGATACTAGAGTACAATTTGGGCATAAATTGATACCCACAGCATACTTGCTGGATTGAACTGTTCATATCTTTTTTTTTTTTTTTTAAAGATTTTATTTATTTATTTGAGACAGAGAGAATGAGATACAGAGAGCATGAGAGGGAGGAGGGTCAGAGGGAGAAGCAGACTCCCTGCCGAGCAGGGAGCCCGATGCGGGACTCGATCCCGGGACTCCAGGATCATGACCTGAGCCGAAGGCAGTCGCTTAACCAACTGAGCCCCATATCTTTTAATAAACATAAGAAAAACTAAGCTCCTAATGACAAACAGAATAATGATTCCCTTCTCCTAGTAACTTCTAAAAATAAAACACTGTAATGGTTAAAAGCATCTGTAAAATCTGGAAATGAACACCAAAAATTAAATGTCAACCTTAGACATATCCCTTTCAATCTCCTGTTTAGCTCTCTCCCCTCATCACCTTCGGAGTGTTCCATGTCTTTAAGTTTTTTTGCAAGATTTTTAGAAACTCTGGTCTAAAATAATTACAATCAGGCTATTTTCCTTATCATCCAGAAGCTACCGCCAAAGTCAGGTCTGAGACTGAGCCCACAAGAGACTCCCCAGCCTGGGTTCACTGAGTTTGAACTGGCTGGATCCAAAGTTCCACTTCATTTCACAGATACCCTGGGAGTTTCTCCCACACTCCCATCAGTTTAAAATGGCGAATCCATGATGTAGTACAATGGCTGTGTAGGGGTGGTGCTTACCTAATTGTTCTATATTTTCTGAATCAGTTATCTATTTTTTTATTATTTCATTCTTTTCAATAAGGTGATTGTTAAATGAATAGACAAATGTGATTTGTCTAACTTATATAAGACCAGATACCCTGATTTTATTTTATTATTATTATTTTTAAAAAAATTTATTTATTTATTTGACAGAGAGAGAGAGATAGTGAGAGCAGGAACACAAGCAGGGGGAGTGGCAGAGGGAGAAGCAGGCTTCCCGCGGAGCAGGGAGCCCGATGTGGGGCTCGATCCCAGGACCCTGGGATCATGACCCAAGCCGAAGGCAGATGCTTAACGACTGAGCCACCCAGGCGCCCATGATATCCTGATTTTAGAATTGAAAACTATAGCCACAATACCCAGATATCTTTTTATTAATAAAATATAGTCATTGTAAGGATTATAATTATCCCCTTTATTTATATTTTCTTCTTGTGCCAAAAATATTCACATGTCTACAGGATAGCTTCTGGGAATTATAAATTGGGAGTTTATATAATACAAAATGTTGTCATGTTTTAAATCAACATATTTTAAATCAAGTATTTTGTATTTGGCTTTGTTTACCAATTTATGTGCAATTTTCCAATTACTGACATTGTTTTAGTTTATCACCTTAGAATGGCTACATTATGAAATTTAAGCTCTATAAATTAGATAGTAGTACTGTACTGATATTACATTTTCTAATTTTGATCTGTGGTAATTTAAGTGAATGGCCTTCCTGTTAGGAAATACATATAGAAATATTTAGAGGTAAAGGACATGATATATGCTAATTTACAAACTATTCCAAAAGAGAGAGAGAGAGGGAGAGCGAAGACAGGGAAAGAGAGAGAGAGGGAGGAGGAATGGGGGTGGAAAAAAGGGAAATGGTAAAGTAAATGTAGCAAAATGTTAACAACTGGTAAACCCAGGTAAAAGATATTTGAGAGTTCTTGTAATATTCTTAAAACTCTTCTCTAATTTAGGTATTTTCTTTTAAAAAAGTAAAAAATAACAACAAAAAGCTTGGGAGATGGGTGCCAACGGCCTGGCAGATAACCCCAGAGACAACTGTGGAGCACTCAAGCAAGGGCACGTCACCAACACTTTGGACAGTCTGGAGGGCAGCAGTGTGGGAAAACACGGGCATTTGTGCTTGAGTAAAATAGGGCTTAGAATCAATTTCACGGTTTTTTTTTTTTTTAAAGATTTTATTTATTTATTTGAGAGAGAGAGAATGAGAGACAGCACGAGAGGGAAGGGGATTAGAGGGAGAAGCAGACCCCCCCACCGAGCAGGAAGCCCGATGTGGGACTTGATCCCGGGACTCCAGGATCATGAGCCGAGCTGAAGGCAGTCGCTTAACCAACTGAGCCACCCAGGCACCCTCAATTTCACGGTTTTAACAACACACTATAGTTATGGTAGCTGTCACCACTGCGGGAAGCTGAGAGATGGGTACACGGGACCTCTCTGTACTCTGCAACTACTTATGAGTTTATAATTATTTCAAAACACAAAGTTTTTTTTAAAAAGTGGTACAGGAAAGTTGGACTCTGAACGTGAAGTGGTTTTAGGAATATCTTAACCTATTTATTTTGCTCCTATTTTCCTTTTTACGTATGTGCAAGGGTGATATACAATAAAAATCTGGGTCTACAGAAGTCTGAGGAGCTCATTCAGAATATGTATAAGAGACAGATTCTAAGTGATAAAAGAAAACAGCTCCATCCTGTTCCAATGAAGTCATCTCGGCCAGTCTTCCCCAGACCGTGTGCTTGATAAGGCCCCGCGGAGCACTCTGAAGTTGGCACCCAGAGAGCTGCATCATCATACTGTGGCTGTCCCAGCCCTACGGGCAGGTGACCACTCCACCCCACCTCTGCCCACTAATGCCACTCTGGGCGGTGAGGGGACACCCTACACCACAGCTCCAGGTCCCTTGTGTGAGCTGGAAGCAAAAGGGGAACAATGGGAGGGACTGCCCCAAGTTTCCTTTTTGCCTTTTTCCCACAGGGCTGCCTCCAGCCTAGCTGCTTGGTGACTGTGCTCCGATGTAGATAAGAGGTGCTGGAATTTCAGCTTACACTGGCGTCTCCCTGTGCATCGTCTGGCTCCCCAAAGGGTTGAGTCTCTGCTGAAAGAACATCCAAAGGCATTTAGCAGTAGCATTTGGGCTGCCTGTCTGAGTGTGTGAATTCTATCCAAAAGCCGCAGATGTTTCAGTTATTTCCTCCCGGAGTTTGAGGGAATAATAGAAGGTTACTGTTGTCACAGTAAGGAGCTCTGCAGCTGGCCCCATTTCCTTTTATTACCATCCAATGTAAACAGATTAAATCTAACTGCTTGGATCACCAGAAGGGTACATTTTTAAACCAGAAATTCCTTATTTCTTCTCCCTTTTTCTTCGAGCACCCTCAGTCCCCTTTCAGATGCCATTTTTTCATCCCTGGGAGTGTGTTGGCAACTGGTGGCTCAAACTAAATACCTTTTCTCAAGTTCACACTCCTTTCTCAACAGCCTACGCTGCAGGAGTGAGCAGGGAGGGACCCTGCCCTTGAGGGCCAACTGTCCACTTACTGCAGTGACACAATGGGTTGGGTAACCCCAGACGACCGCTGGGGGCCTTCCCCCACACCTCTGGCTCAGCTCACCCCTAGCTTCCTGTGGACTTCCTCCCTAAGAACCCACGGGGCTCCTGCGCTTCCTGTAAACCCAACTCCAGAAGCCAGTAAGCGGCCGGGAAGAGGGAGATCCTGGAGCTGCCCCCTAATGGACAACAAGCAAGACAAGTGCTGGGGAGGCTGCAGGAGGCTGGGGATGGTGTCCAGGTGTCATTGCTAACAAGTAACAACCAGCGAAACTGCAGGTGGGTCACCTAGTACAGGGGTTTTTGATACCTTTTTTAAAACAGATCTCAAACCCTTGTCTCGAAAGAAATTTTACCTGGAATTCCATGATAAAAGTGACTCAGAACAGAACTGCTCTGTTTGGAGGGAGTCAGAGCCCTGGTCTCCTCCCAACACCCCACAATGACATGTGATGGGGCACCAAGGAATATAGTTTGAAAACCACGGGCTTTGTCTAAAGATGAAAACACGAGGCAAGTCTAGAGAGAGTAAAAACCTACCACGTAGTCAGTTAATGGCAGACCAGAGTCTGCCTCTGCTTTACCCCTGTATCCATGTTCTGTGTCCTTAGAATGAGCAGTCTTGGTCCTTACAACAATAACCTCTAGCTTCCAGGATGAGCAAAAAGTTCCATGAGAGAGACAAATCATATTTTATCTAGTAAACACAATATGTAGTAATGGGGGCCTCTATATAATCCAGTTTAATGATATCCAGAGATGACTAGCTGAAGGGCTAACTTTTCATGCCAGCACAAGGACAACGACGGCCACCAGCACCGGGAAGACACAAGGCCCTGAACACGGTACTACAACCTAATGCAAGCTCAAAGGGTGCAGGTGATGGAGTGTGGGTGGAAGACACACCAGAAGAATGAGCTCTACATCCAGATTCCTTTCTCCCCAAATGCAAGATGCATTTCTTTAGTTAGAAGAAATCTTTTGTTATCTCCCACACTAGCTGGTATGATGGCTTTAAATCAATTATAGCTAATCCCACAGATCTCTGGGATATAGCCATAAGGCATCCTTCCATTTTTATCCATTCACCTGTATTCATGGGGTTCGTTTCTGTGACCTCCTCTTTTCACTGAGACAGCCCGGTGTAGTACAAGAGCTCCATGGTGGGAATTCTAGTCTCTTGACTTCTAGACCTTGCTTCCAGTCCTAGCTCGTCCATGCCCAAACTCTGTGACCCTGGGCAAATCACTTAACCTCTCTGAGCTGCACACACTGTAGCTCATATAAAATCCCTATAAAATGAGAGGAAGGCATTGGGAAGACGAAATGAAATAAAGCACATTAAAGACTTTGAAACTATAAAGCCCATAAAAATGTGGGGTATCCACGTTATTACAATTATTTCATCAGTGGAGCAGACACATTTTACTGCATCACTTCAGAACTGCTCCTGGAAATGCTGTTCTCTGGGCTCCTGCCATGATTGTACACCTACCCTCTCCGTGTGAGGAATGCAGGCAAGTTCGTGGCTATGGGGTTCCCAGGCTGGTCTTCCCGGCCAGCCTCCCTTTCGGTGGTGTCTGGAGCAAAACAGCACTATAAAATAACCCTCGAGCAGCCAAGTGTAGAAAATTAAAAAGAAGGATCACTAATCCAGACAGGAAAAGGCCTGATTTATTGCTCTAACCACTCTGTCATAAAATGGCAATGAAACAAAAACACCATTCTATAGGATGAAGGGAGAGGAAATTTAGAGTTGGATAGAAAATCCGAAGGAAATGAAAGTGCTAGTGTGCTCTGAAAAGTAACTCTCCAAATATGCCAGTGGTCACCTTGATGTTTCCAGGCCTCCGCGATGCCTTCCAGACCTCAAGTGCTCAGCTTGCACTGAGTGGAGGCCTCTCCTAGCTGATGGTGCTGAGAATTCCACCGGGGATCCTCGAGCCTCTCTCATGTCATCACCGGCCAGATGAGAACCCAACCAAGAGTTAGGCTGGCAGGTGCACGAGATGATGAATGAGGCAGGCAGGGTTCTGCCGCCGCACTGCATGGACCAATTAAGCTTGTGTGGGCTGCTCGTTTCAGCGGGGAAGTTCTTTGGGAACAGAGGTTGGCAGGAAAGGCTGCTCTCTCTACTCCGTTTTCAAAATGCACCTTCAGATAAGGGCTTTCTATAAAGACCACTGAAGTTGTAATCTCTGAACGTGCTCAATGGCCAAAGGGCCATGTGTAGAGGGGGAAGACCCATTTTCAGAAGCAAACGTTTGGTAGGAGGCACATGGAAAGGCAACCTGGACTTACCTGATCTAAATCTCCTTTCTCTATTGCCAGTTCCTCCATCTCTGGTGCTGGCTCATCTTCCAGGAAGGGATTGGTGGATGGGGGTGGAGACTCAAGTTTTTTCTGCTAAGAAGATGAGAGAAAGAGGTTAAGTATTTTCTGAGCATATTCTTAATACCTTTCCCCATTGATCTGCTTTTTCCGAGTCTCTCCAACCCCTAAATCATGAAATCTAAATCTGATCTAATGAGCAAGGACTGAGACAACACGGACCACACTCTTACCTCCCAGCCTTCATACTATTTCCCATCTTCCTGAAACCTACTGCCTACCCCACCCCAATCCCAATCTGGCTAAAATTCTCATTCATCCTTCAGCCCTCAAATTAGAAGTCCCTTCTTCTGGGAAGCCTTCCCCATCTCTTAAGTTTGGGACAGATGTCCCTGCTACATGTTTCCATCCCACCCAGTATGTCTACCTACCCAGGTATTTATTAAAATATCGCAACTGTCCATTTATTTGTCTTGTCCCCACTAGATTCCATGATGGCGAGGGATCATGTCTGTCTTGTTCCCCTTCCTATATCTGGGTGCCTGGCATTTCCTAGCTGCTCCCTAAATATGAAAGAATCAAAATGCTGGATGGGATGGAATTCAAGAACAAACTATAAAGCTAATCTTAATCTTATGTGTTCTAGATTATAGACAGAAGTCTCTTCCCGAATAAGTCTCATTACAACAAGCACAACAGAATCTCCTTGGGAAAGATTAGTTCTCAGGACCTGATTCTGACCACTCTTTTAGCACATGTCATTGAGTGGGACCACAGGCTGGAGTGGGAAAGCTGGGGGCAGGAGGTGTGGATTTTAGCTCCAACTCCGCAGCGCTGGCCAATTGCCTAACTTCTCCTGGCCACAGCAGCCTCATCTGTTGCACAAGGTTGCAGTTATAGGATTACCAGAAGAATCAGATGTAATGAAGGGTGCAGAAAAAAAAAGGGGGGGGGGGGCTGCGAAAGGCAGCAAGGAGCACATGACACGTATAAGGGACACTGTGATGATAACTCAGTGCAGCAACAGAATCGAGGCAGCTCCTGGGAATTTTTTGTGCAAATTTGGCCCCAAGATGTTGTTTATGCCAGGGAGCTAAAAGAAAACTAAGTGGACAAGGAGGAGAAAAGGGATTGGCTGGTGCTGGGGATGAGGGGAAGGGTCAAAAAATGGCTCTTTGCAATGTCCACAATAGCCAAACTATGGAAAGAGCCAAGATGTCCATCAACAGATGAATGGATAAAGAAGAGGTGGTGTATATATACAATGGAATATTATGCAGCCATCAAAAAACCCCCCAAAATCTTGCCATTTGCAATGATGTAGATGGAACTAGAGGGTATTATGCTAAGCGAAATAAGTCAATCAGAGAAAGACAAGTATCATATGATCTCACTGATATGAGGAATTCTTAATCTCAGGAAACAAAGGAGTGGTGGGGGGTGGGAAGGATGGGGTGGCTGGGTGGAAGACATTGGGGAGGGTATGTGCTATGGTGAGCACTGTGAATTGTGTAAGACTGATGAATCACAGACCTGTACCTCTGAAACAAATAATACATTATATGTTAAAAAAAAAAAAAAGAAGATAGTAGGAAGGGAAAAATGAAGGGGGGGAATTGGAGGGGGAGATGAACCATGAGAGATGATGGACTCTGAAAAACAAATTGAGGGTTCTAGAGGGGAGGGGGGTGGGGGGATGGGTTAGCCTGGTGATGGGTATTAAGGAAGGCACGTACTGAATGGAGCACTGGGTGTTATACGCAAACAATGAATCATGGAACACTACATCAAAAACTAATGATGATTAACATAACATAATAAAATAAAAAAAATTAAAAAAAAAAGAAATGGCTCTTTGGAGACAAGAAGCCAGGTGGAAAGGGTGTTTCTAAATGTACTTGTGACACTTTTGCATGTATCAGCAGAGCAACTTCAACTAACCCCTAAGCCAAGAGGGACAGCACATGGACTGTAGTGTGAATGACTTTATCAAGTGCCAGGACACCAGCTGAAGATATACCAAGAAACAAAAAAAGAAAAAGAAAAAGAACAAAACTAACAAAAACAATCCAGAAAAATATGAAAAACTTAAACACAAAAAACACAAACCATTCTGGTGTCTGGTTTAGGCTTTAAGACCATTCTGCTTACACTCATGTAAACTACTTAATTTTCGGCCCAAACACTTGGATGCTGTTATGTTGCCAGATAAAGACTCAGTGTATGAAGAAAGCTCCTTGTGATCAATGTATTAGGTCAAGGTAGTCATTAGTAGGACAGTGATTTTTCTGGTATCCTGCTGAGAAACAATATGGTCTAACAACAAAGCAAATATTTAAAATTTATACACTCTGGGATGCCTGAGTGGCTCAGTTGGTTAAGCGACTACCTTCGGCTCAGGTCATGATCCTGGAGTCCCAGGATTGAGTCCCGCTTTGGGCTCCCTGCTCAGCAGGGAGTCTGCTTCTCCCTCTGACCCTCCCCCACCTCATGCTCTCTCTCAAATAAATAAATAAAATCTTTAAAAAAAATAAAATTTATACACTCTGAACTTTGGCTTGCTTTGCCTGATATGGGAAAAAAAAATCCCTACAAACTTAAAGCGAAATAATTTATTTTTAGAATTAGGATATTTTTGGGGCACCTGGGTGGCTCAGTTGGTTAAGCATCTGCCTTTGGCTCAGGTCATGATCTCAGGGTTCTGGGATCGAGTCCACGTCGGGCTCCATGCTCCGCGGGGAGCCTGCTTCTCCCTCTCCCTACTGTTCCCCCTGCTTGTGCTCTCTCTCTGTCATATAAATAAATAAAATCTTTAAAAAAATCAGGCTATTTTTAGAAAGCAAGGTATCTTTGAAAACAATATTTCTTTTTTTTTTTTTTTTTAAGATTTATTTATTTATTTATTTACAAGGTTATGCCACCACCATCCCAACTATCCAATTCCAGGACATTTCCATTGCCCCCAAAAAACCCCTCCCCACCATAGCAGCCACTTCCAGTTTCCTCCTTCCCCCAGCCCCAGCCAGTTAATCTACTTTCTTTTTGGATTTGCCTCTTCTGGACGTTTCATATAAATGGATTCCTATACTATGTGGCCTTCTGTGCCTGGCTTTCTTCACTTAGCATAGTAATTTTGAGGCTCACCTGTAGTATGGCATGTATTAGTACTTTAGTCCTTTTTTTTTTAGATTTTATTTATTTATTAGAGAGAGAATGAGAGACAGAGAGCACGAGAGGGAAGAGGGCAGAGGGAGAAGCAGACCCCCTGCTGAGCAGGGAGCCCGATGCGGGACTCGATCCCGGGACTCCAGGATCATGACCTAAGCCGAAGGCAGTCGCTTAACCAACTGAGCCACCCAGGCGCCCCTCTCTCTCCTTTTTCTGATAGACAAATTATCTGAAGAGTGAAGATGATTTATAACTAAACTCAGTATTTTCTAAAACCCTTAATATTTTAAAATTGTGATATATAATTAACATCAAATTCACCATGTTAGGTGATGTACAACTGAGTGATTTTCAGTATGTTCACAAGGCTGTGCCACCATCCCCACCATCCAATCCCAGAATCTTTTTACCCCAAAGGAAGCCCCATATCCATTAGGTATCACTTCCAATCCTCTCCTTCCCCTAATCCGTGGCAACTCCTAATCCACTTACTGTCTCTATGAATTTGCCTATTCTGGACATTTCATGTACAAGTGGCCTTTTGTGTCTGGCTTCTTTCACTTTGTATAGTGTTTTCGAGGTTCATCTTGTGTCATGTGTCAGTATTTCAGTCCTTTTTTTGGCTGAATAATATTCCAATGCATGGATATACTACATTTTGCTTAGCCATTTGTCCATTAGAAGACATGTGGGTTGTTTCTACTTTTTGGCTATTGTGAATAGTGCTGCCATGAACATTCATGTACAAGTGTTTGTATGAACACAGGAGAATTTTCAATTCTCTTGAGTATATACCTAGGAGGAAGCATATAGTACTCTGAAAAACAGTTTCAGATTGCTGTGCCTTTTTTTTTTTTTAACCTGGCAGAATTATCCCTTTATATTAGGCATTGCTCTGCTAGCACCATGAATTGCAGAAAACAAACAGTAACTATTCTGAATCTTTACAAACCATCACTAACATCAAGACTCAGTGCTGGGAGACTAAGTAGGTGTGTTCATAAGAGACAAGAATACAGAAAACAGTTTAAAACAGAGGCTATCTTTTTTTTTTTTTTTTAAAGATTTATTTATTCATTTGAGAGAGCAAGAATGAGAGAGAGTAACATGAGAGGGGGGAGGGTCAGAGGGAGAAGCAGACTCCTCGCCGAGCAGGGAGCCCGATGCGGGACTCGATCCCAGGACTCCAGGATCATGACCTGAGCCAAAGGCAGTTGCTTAACCAACTGAGCCACCCAGGCGCCCTAAAACAGAGGCTATCTTAAATTTGAAAAACTCATACTTTTTGGCCCTATAATTCAACATACTTGTATCATAAGAAAATAATCTCCAATGTGAACAAAAATGTGTTCGCTGTGGCCTTGTTTATAATAGTGAAAAAATGACAAGTGCTTAAGGGCCCAACAAGAAAAGGATATTTAGGGAAATTCTGGACCATCTCAAATATAATGACTGAGAAACCACTTAAGATAGGGACATATGAAGAAAAGTAAGCTATAAAACTGTATTTACGCATCATACATAAAAATAAACTCAATATGGATCAAAGATCTAAATATAAGAGCAGAAACTATATAACTCTTAGAATAAAGTATAGGTAAATGCTTGTGACCTTGGGGATGATACCAAAACTCAAATAACAAAAGAAAAAAAAATAGAAAAGTAGGATTTCATCAAAATGGAAAACTTTTGTATATCAAAGGACACTATCAAAAAAGTTAAAAGACAACCCACAGAATGGTAGAAAATATTTACAAATCGTGTACCTGAAAAATGATAGAATATATCTAGAAAATATATATTTTTTAAGATTTTGTTTACTTTTTGACAGAGAGAGACACAGTGAGAGAGGGAACACAAGCAGGGCGGAGTGGGAGAGGGAGAAGCAGACTTCCCACGGAGCAAGG